AATTTATATGTTTCATGTGTAAACAGCCAACTCATATAAATAAATATTCTTTTCTCTCAGAACGAGTCTCTCCTGATTGAACTGTTTTTGCTGGCACAGTTGCTGCTGGATGTTTCACAAAACAAAAAACCACCTTTGCTGGCACAATCCCCACAGCAAATACCCTGATGTTTCAGCAAAAGCCAACTGCTTTTGGTGGCACAGTCACCACAGGAAGTACTGCAGATGTGTCGCTAAAAAGCAACTGCTTTTGGTGGCACAGGTGACGCTGGAAATGCCATCTGTCTTGCTAAAAATACCGGCTTTGGGTAGCATAACTGCTTTGTGGTTTGTTGCTCTGCAGTGGTCTGCTGCTTGGGACTCATCTCGCCTATGTGTTCACACCATCCACCATCTCCTTCACCTCCAAGGACAAAGTCAGCTAATGTACATGTAATCAGAACTACATCACTTTAGAAAAGTTGACATGTTATGTGTGAAACAAACGTAACACATCAATGCTTTGCAGAAATGTACAATACCAACTTCTTCTTCTGGCGACTGATTTGATTGATACAAATTTTAGTCAATCCTGATTAGTATGGGTTGTGATTGTTGCTCATGTCTGCACTGTACAACTGGTGATGTTTATTTTAGGGAGTGCTTCCTGGAGCTGGGGATGATGCACCAACTATCGTCATCACTGCCCACTATGATTCCTACGGTCTGGCACCGGTGAGTCACAAACAAAATGATGAAACACAATTTCAGCACTTGCAGTGTAATATATGCTCAAGCATGATGTTTGTTTTTGTCGTGTAACACAGTGGTTATCGTATGGAGCAGACTCTAATGGCAGTGGGGTCATCATCCTGTTTGAGTTGGCACGTCTCTTTCAGAAGCTTTTTAGTAGTCCAAGAACAAGACCACCGTAAGTTTGATTCCCCCATAGAGTATGATGATACACATGCTTTTTGGTCATTATGTTTATCCCATGCTTAAAGTGTAAGCACAAAAAGTGATGAGAACATATGTTTTATTATGGATCGAGAAAACAACATTACAAACTTGGTAGATGCTGCTTGATATTTAAACTTATGATAATTAAGGACATAATTCTCAACTGTTAGATAAATTTTCAGATTTATTTTTGTTCTTTCAGATATCATTTGATGTTCTCCTTAACTGGAGGAGGAAAATACAATTTCCTTGGCACAAGGAGATGGATTGAAGAGAATCTGGACCATGCTGGTGAGTTTTGGGCGTTGGAAAAGTACTGACACATCTGAACATGAGCAGCCCAGTTTGATTTATTTCATCCAAACCTTTTCTCTGCAGAGTCCAGCCTGCTCCATGACAACGTGGCATTCGTTGTGTGTTTGGATACACTCGCCAACGGTGATGAACTGTACATGCACGTGTCCCGCCCTCCTAAACCCGACGCTCCCATGCACTCTTTCATTCAACAACTGGAAGAGGTAACATGCTATACCGCAAGGTCCAAAATGTGGAGTCGGCCTTTCTCAGTCCTCACAGGCTTAAATTTGTAATTTGGTCCAGGTGGTGTCCTCCAGATTCCCCTGGGTGAAGGTGGGATTGGTCCATAAGAAGATCAATCTTGTGGAGTCCACAGTAGCATGGGAGCACGAGCGCTACAGCCTGCGCAGGATACCAAGTTTCACACTGTCTCATCTGGAGGACCCCAAATCTGAGCTCCGTGGCTCCATGCTAGACACCATGTGGGTTCTAAAGTCTGTTTAGGATTACTATGACTAGGTGCTTGAAGGCCTTGTTTACTATGAGATGATATTCAGATTTAGATCAACTTTATTATCCAACACAGGGAAATTAATTTGGTCTAATGATCCAGATATAAAGACACCATAAAATCCACCATCCAAGTACAGTAAGACCACAACATAATCACAATAAAACACCTTCTGTCACATTTAAGGTTCAGTGTGTAGGATTTAGGGGGATGTATTGGCAGAAGTATGTCATCGTTAGTGTATAATCTCCCGAAAATAAGGATAGTCATGTTTTCAATACCTTAGAATGAGCTGTTTATACTGTATCTTCATAGTGAGTGGGTCCTTGTCCACAGAGCAGAGTCTGCCTTGTTGCAATGCCAATTTTCACTGTCATTTTGCTACAGTGGCCCAGAATGGACAACCTAAACACTGGCTCTCGATAGGTCCATTCGCATTCACTTTGTCATGTTAGCCACTGTAGTTTGCAGCCCCTCTTGGACGAGCAGTGCAGGAAAAACACAGATTTTTTAAACATGAAACTGCTTTATTCTGTGTTTTTACCGATGTAAACCACCGGGTCTACACACTGTTCCTTTAAGACAGAATAAATGATAAAGTCAAATAAAAAAAGTCAAACCAGAACAGTAAAATCCAAGTGACCAGCTAAGAGACCTCGGATAGGATCATATGATATGTTAAGATGATGTAAAGCAACACATCATATGTCTGTGTCTTCTCACAGGTCACAAGTGGACTTCAGGAAAATGAAGCGCAATGGCATCATCATAGCAGAAGCACTGGCACGTTATATGTACAATCTCTCTGACAAGGTGATTAAATACAGGAAAACAGGATGCATGTATCCAAATAACCCAAACTGTGGTTTCATCATTTACCAGCATTTTTAATGTGTTATTAACTTTTATTATCTTCCACAAGGGTTCACCTAAAGACGTGCAGGTTTTCAAGGGCCAATTGGTGAGTTCCTGGTTAGATTGGCCAATATGCAAAGACAAGTGCTGACCTCTGGTGTTAGTTCATAGGCACTGCAGTGTTTGCACGTTCAAAGGGTTGGGTTTGCATGATAACCATAGCTTGTTAATTTGATTTATTTAAAATTGGAGGCATTTGGGGAAAAAAAGAAGATATATTTAGAGTGTGGAAAATTGCAGCTTGATGTCAAAGTTATTAAAATAAAAATTTCTATAAGTAATTGAAAAAGAGATGTGAATTTCAAATTAGGCTTTTCATGTGTAAAAAGTGGGACTCCTTGATATACAATAACTTTTAATTGTATGTGATTGCACATAAGACATTTCCTACATTTTCCTTTCTGTTAATATAAATTCTCTATGCAGGACTTCCACGACGGCCGTATCTCCAGTCTGATGTCCTTCCTCACATCAGTTCCCCGGGCCACCCAGCTGCTGGATAAAGAGCCCGGTCACATCCTGCTGGTTAACTCACTGGAGCACGAATTCAAACGTTACCTACAGCAAGTTCACAGGCACGCCTTCCGACAGGACAGGAGGTAAAAGGAGGAAGTACAGTGGAGATAAAAAACAAACTGCAATGTAGATACAATGAGGGAAGAAATACAACAGTATCACTACTGATGAATTGTATTTCTTCACACAGGGACCCTGATATTACCTTCTTTGATCAAATGAACCAACCAATAGTGATGTACAGGTAAATATCTGTGTTCATATGCATGTTGTGCATGTGGTAATTTCAGTAACACACTTGGACACTGACACACTTTTTCTTCCAGAGTGAAGCCTGCAGCTTTTGATCTCTTCCTCGGCGGCTGCATCGCTGCTTATCTGGGGATCGTTTACTACACCATTCAGGTTTGTTAATGTATTGCTGCATTGCGTCTTAGCAGACAGCATCTTCTGTGTTGTATGTTGTCTTAAAGTAGACAACCCTTGACACATCAGGTTTGTTTTCTCACAGCATCTGTCTGTTCTCTTTTACAGAATTTCGGTTATCTCTACACAAAGCTCAAAGCGGCAGTGAAATCCAAGCACGAGTAAACCAGACTGTGAATACTGATTTTATTACGAGAGCTTTGAAGTCCGCATTGCACATGTTGGACTTCTGCTTCACTGGCTGCGCAGAACATGAAAGCAGTGCAGTGAGAATCTTCTGAGTCTGATCATATGCACAACTTATAAAGTGTGCATTTGCTTTGAAATGTATATTGTTTTTATAAATCATTGTACTGTAAACATTTTCTTATATGAATGGACTGGAATTTGTTGTTTGGGGGAAGATGCAAACAAAATAAATAAAGGAGGAGTTTGGGATTTGTGTCGCATCAAAGTAAGATTGGAGCACAATCTAGAGACAGGATTTGATTTGTGCAGCCGTGAAGGACGTTCCTTCCTGCCACATCATTACTATGATTCCCCATGTCCTCTGCTCTGCATCTGTTGACATGGATTTGACTGGGCTTAACATGGCTGTCAAACAAGGCCGAGCCACTGCAGCGAGATGAACAGCCAGTTCCTGTCACAGATAACTCAGTGAGAGCAGTGGAGCCACAAAGGCACCCTACAGCGCTTGGTGAATTATTGATGCTCATGTGGCATCCTGACAGTGAATAGAGGTGACCCTGGGTGCTGGTGGGGGATTCTTATAAACCCCATCCCTCCCTTGGTTTGTTCCAGCTCTGCAGAACTGATAAGACTCTGTCTTAACTACGAGGTGGCTAAACAGCCAGGTGCTGAAGTGTTTGAGATCAGTGGTGGTTAGTTTGCGAGGGCCCCTGGGAGGTAAGTAGGTCATGGACAGTGACCCCAGGTATGTGTGTCTCTGCAGGGGGCCTGGGGCTTAGGAGGATTAGTGGCCAAGTGCTCAGGTAGCACAAAAGAGTTGTTCTAGTTCAGCCAAGTGCTTTCAACCACTCTTCAGCATATAGATGCATCATAATAGCTACAAGTTAAACAAAAACTTTTTACCATCTGATAAGGATCCAAGCTAGATTTATAAATACTGATGTATGCACAAATACTATGCTGTAATACATTCAACACAGAAAGGGTAATAAATGCCAGTAAAACACATGCACAACCCAGCACCCATTTTAAGCAGAAAAACACACGCACACTTTAGGGAATTCTGCAGCAAAAAGGAAAGGAATTAAAATAAGAACAGACTCACATGTATGAGGGAAAGGGAGGAGCCAGCAGGTGACAGGGGAGGAGAAGGATGTTCTTAACTGTCATGCAGACTGGAGGGAAGAACACAATAAGTGAAGATGGCTCCCCAGCTTTACATCACCATGTACAAAGAGCAGTTTGCCTCTCCTGGCAGAGTGAAACGAGAACAACTTCGACCCACCTCTGCCCACCGCAGGAACAACCCCCAGCCCAGGCCGGTAAGAGGCACAACCACATTGACTGCACAGGTTTATTGGGATAAAATAATTATTTATGACAGTGTGCCATGTTGAATTTATTGAATAACTCAGAAAATGTAAGTTGTACCCCGTCAAGTGATGCAATTTACTGAAAACTGTTTTTACAAAATGAGTTAACACATTTCCAGGTGGTGCATTTAAGGTCAAACAAGACTAATTGGATTGCTTATTATTGGCACTCTCTTTATTGTCCTTCATTTACCCAGGCTGAAGTGTCTTACACTAATTGGTGGCTGGTTGTTTACATTTCCCTGTGCTTGGTGAAAGCTGTATAGCATCTATTATTCAGTACTTCCTCCATGCCTATTTATCTATCCAGACATGGGGTAAACAGAGCGTACAAAAGAGAGTACAGTTACCCGACTGTAAAGGGGAAAGAAATAAAAAAAATAATGCTGCTGGTAAAAACCCAAATGGCATTTCAAAACCTGAATGCTTGATACATTGTTTCGAGGTATGCTGAGGTGTGAGATTGAGGGTTATCATACCGTGCACATTTGCATGTATTGAAAAAAAAATGCAAATGGATGAATAATTTCACTTTTATTTATGATTTATTTTTCAAAAGGGAAAGTTTTTACACTTACTTCCATTAACCCTTTGCAACCTGAGCAAATTGGCTGATTTATTTTGACAAACCTGGGAAGAAGGCCATGAGCAACGGAAGAAGAAATGACCGCCAAAATTTGGAAGAAATTAGTAAAAAGAGAAAATTTAAAACATGAAAATTTGTTTAAAAAAAAAAGAGTTTAAAAACCAAGAAACAAATGAACAAGGACATGACATGGGAAAAGTGCTTAAAAATTATAATAACTCTATAACATATGTATGTAATAATAATTATTATAGATAGTTTTTCCCCTAGCTTTTTTCTTTTTTAAACAATTTTTTAAATGTAATATTTTTTGGCAATTAGTGAGACATTTCTTACCAATTTGCTCATTGCCTTTTCCCCCATGTCTCTGAAAGAAATCACATCGATTTACTTAGGGTTCAAAGGTTAAAATACCTGTGAAAGGCGTTAGAAAGTAGCACAAGAAAAGTGATGTTGCCCCAGGTCTCAAAGGATTAAAATGGTTTCAATTCTAATAAAGTTTTTGGTCAACCAGAAAAAAACCCTTCAGTTTTAAGTCTTTTAAGGGTCATTGTAACTGATGATAATAATGATAATTGTGTAATGCTGTATACTTTAATACCGTGAAACTGATTTTCTGAGATAGCTATCTGTGAAAATCTCTTGCAGTACTGTTGCAACCTTAATTCTAAGCACTGAGAGAAAGATATAATCTGGGGCAAGGTTTATTCAATGAGAATAAAGAAATAAATGAGAAAATAATAAGTAAATTAAAAGTACGTATGATTATTAAACCCATATTAAATGTGAGGTGCTCTGTATGGTGCATGTAAAGACAGATCTTCAATCTAGTGGAGTGAGAAGGACAGTGATATTCATTTTCTTCTTCTTCTCTTTCTTCTTCTTCCTTTACTGCACGTGTCCTTCATTTCCTTGCCTCTCCAGGACTTTCTGTTTCCCTGGAGTCTCCAGCCCAACTACAGATCACGCCTCACACCACCACGCAACTCGCCCCCTGTGGACATTGGCCGTCCTCTCTTTCCCCCTGTCAAACATTTATCATTCCTCAGTCCAGTTACGACTTGTCCGGACAACTACCTAAACACTGTGGATACAGGCAAACCAAACCACATGCCCCCTGTCAATCCATCCACAGCACAAGCTCTGCCCTCTGCTGACGCCCTGCAGAAAGTACAGCTGACGGAGCCTCCTTCTGGCACTGGATTTACGTCCCACTTGGCTTTGAAGAGGTAGTATTAGATCAGTTTAATCTATGGTCCAAAGGTGACTCTAAACACACATTGATTGTAATTGATTTTCTTTGCATTCGAAGGGATTATCAGAGGAACCTTCATCCACTCTCAGCACAGCAACTCAGGTGAGGCAATGACCTCTGAACTCTTCCTGCAGCCTGTAACCCCTGAAAACACTTGATATGTTGATGAGAATTGTTGAGTGATGATTGAGTGATTCTGCAAATGACATTGATTTTGACAGGCAACATGCAGCTGCTCAGCTTCGGACAAGACCTCAAACCAGTAACCCTCAGCACCACTTCCTGCGCACACAATACCGGAGGTCTTGCTCTCGTAGCAGCTGGGATTTTAGGTGCATATTGAACTTCATTTGATTAAAAAAACGTCTTGATGTGCTGCATATATTAGCCTGTGAGGTCTAATCTTTCCTCTGCTGGTCTCTCAGCAGTGGGTGCTACAGCTGCTTCCACGTGGTGAAGCCCTACCAAGCTGGACACTACATCATACACCCAGAGTTTGTGTCCGAGTGCCTTCGTTAGGACTGTTAGAGCCCTGGCTTCCAAAGTGGGGATCGGGGACCTGCAGAGGTCCTTGAGGGGATCGTTAACTTCACTATTGTTTAATTCTCCACTAATTAACCCAGTGAGACAAGGTGTAAGGATGAATAATGTAACTGTAGGCTGCACTCTCACTACTATTATCTCCCTACATACAGCTGGACACTTTTACAATTCAGTGCTAAATCAGCAGCTAAGATCTTCCCATAAGGGGCTTGTGGTGATCAAATCAAATGAGGCACTGTGGCCCTAATGTGTATCAGTGTGTGACATTAAAATTTTATCCCATTGATTGGTGGGTTTTGTATGCTAAACTGAAGTAACGATACTACATTAATTATCTCCGCCAGGTATTTGGTCTCATGTGTGTGTGTTAGTGTGTTTGTGTGTGTGTGTATCTGTCTGTCCACAGCTAATCTCACATACTACTGGACAAATTAGCCTAATATTTTATGTGCACATGTATGACCACGCGCTGATGCTCAAGGGCATCTTGTGGTTGCAGTGACTGACTGTTTTATACTGTAACTGACTGCTGACTTCTTACTCCTCTGAAAAGGGTGGTAGGGGCCACAAGTGTTCCTGAAAATGGCGCGGCTAAAAAACAACAAACCATACCATCCCTTGCAGTCCACATTTTGGCTTTTGTTGTAGCTCTAAAACTGACATCCATTGAAAAGTTTGGTCTCATTTTGAACTGGAGCATCTGCAGATTAATTCCATACCCAATGTGTTATGATCCACTAGAGCACATCTGCAACCTGGTTTTGTTTTGTCCCACAAACTGTGTCATACCACAGTGGGAGTGTCTCAGAAGTGTCAGATTTTGTAGACTTGCTGATTTTATTGATTTAACCATTTTCCTTAATATTTGTGCTATCATCCTAAGTACATAGCCTTTGTGGTTAAATGTTTTTTTTCTGTCCGCTTTATTGTGTTTATTGTTATTTCCTATTAGTGCTGCAGCTTGCAGACATACTACAACACACCCGCTGTGGTACTTGCAATGGGGCTACTGCTTCTAGATTGTCTCAGCAAGGGGCAAAAGACCACAGGACATGAAAGGTTAACAAGCTCAATTTATTTTTATATAAATGTTAAAACCAAAACAGGAAAACTTAGAGGCTCCTGAGAGACTCTAATCTCTCCACTATAAAAAGCCAGTGTCAGTGTTCTACTAGCAGGGAAGGAGGAGGAACAGTTGAAGGCCAAGAATCAGCTTTGTTACTTTCTCAGTCCATTAACAACTTTTCAGATAGTGGTGGTCCTCTTTGAGCCAACACCTTGGACATGCCTGGCAACACTTTAGCCTTTGGGGAAGTCCAAATTCTGCCTTCTGGCAGTGGTGTCTTGAGTGGACCCCGGCCTGCACAGAGAGAAACACAAGAGAAATGAGACAATTTAATGTTCAGATACAGTATTCACTTAGACCTCACAGGCCTACCATACCTGCACAGAGGAACACAAAAAAAATGAGACTGCAGCTTTTACTACACATGTTTAACTAAACCACAGTGTGAGGAGGCACCTTGACTCACAGCCATTGGCTCACAGCAAACATAAAGTCTCACCCCACAGTCAGTGCCAGTGAGTCTGAAGGTGAGTTGGTGACATGTTTACATGCAGATAATATTCTGTTTTTTACCCTTATTCCAAAAAAAGACAATATTCCTACTTAACTGTTTGCATGGCTGATGAAAATGAAAACTATTGTAAACTAATACTTCAGTTTACACGCAGCCATGCAAACTTTGATTAACATGCCCTAACATGTTGTTTGTTGGTGTAGGTGTGGTGGTTCTTTTCCAGACCAGAAATGTGGGCTTTTCTTTTGGGCATGCATCTCTACCCCAGCCTTGCAAACTGTGGGTTTGTGTACACTGCATTCATGACAACGCACAGAGCTGACTGTTAGGTCGCATGTCGCAAACTGCAGTAAAAATCCCAATTGAGACACAGATTCAGAACAGATTGTGTACATTTCCAAATACGAAACCTAAATAATAGCAGAATGTTTTATGTCTGAAATGGAAATGCTAAATTGCTGGTCACATCCTGCTGGTTAACTCACTGGAGTACGAGTTCAAACGTTACCTACAGCAAGTTCACACACACGCCTTCCGACAGGACAGGAGGTAAGAGGAGGAAGTACAGTGGAGAGAAAAAACAAACTGCAGTGTAGATACAATGAGGAAAGAAATACAACAGTATCACTACTGATGAATTGTATTTCTTCACACAGGGACCCTGATATTACCTTCTTTGATCAAATGAACCAACCAATAGTGATGTACAGGTAAATATCTGTGTTCATATGCATGTTGTGCATGTGGTAATTTCAGTAACACACTTGGACACTGACACCCTTTTTCACACACTTTTTTTTGCTAAAAAAGGCCTGATTCAGAATAACCAAATGGAATATGGTGTTTACATGACCCACATTAAATTCACAATATTGTCATATTTTGGAATAATAGGAGAATATTAGTGTGCATGTAAATGTACCAGTGAACATTCATTTTATAATCATTTCATATCAACACTTAAACCTTTCATTTTTACTTTTAGATCTCCCATGTGTTCACTGTGTCCTTGTGTATCTGCTTTGTTCTAAGCTGAACTGTATGCGCACAGTTGAACTTCTCTCCAGATGTCCAGGGGAGCTTCGAGGCTCTTCTGGCTTTATCAGAAATATAACATATGGTTTCCCAGAGTATCAAGAATACCTTAAAAGGAGATGTTTCACCATAGGTTTTGGGCCAAGCTGATGTTTTATCTGGCAATGAGCTTTGGAGGCTTGGGAGGTTTCATATCATAAGCTCTCTCAGACGGGTCTGCATCATAACGTTGTCATGCATGCACTCTACCTACACCCACACACTCAAACACATCCCTGTGCAAAGTCCTACACATCAACTCACAGACATACACATATTCAGACATGCATGTGCACATACTGACACACAATCTATATATTCATTCATACAGATTTAGACATGTCTGAACACACACTCTCAGTTCCTCTCTATGCCCAGCCCTTTTTTTGTTCTTGCAGATTCACTGATGCACCTTGTGCCCTGTTAATCTACTCATGTATACATGAATTAAAGTTGCCTTTATCAGGAGTCCTTTTGTTGCCTGATTAATTCATTTTCTTTGGTTCTTCCTTTCAATTGGTGTCACAAACAGAATGGCGTCGGCTAAAGCAGGTGGACAGATCTTTATTGTTCTTTTTTGCTTTGTGGCTAAATGAACTATTTGTTCTCCTGTAGAGCCCTTGCTGTGAAGATTCTAAACTCTTAAAATCCCCTGAGAGGAAGATTGATTAATTAGTGATGTAGACTGATACTGAAGACAATAAACACAACATAAGTTAAATAATTAACTGTGAAATCTCATTATTGAATGCTGTAACGTGAGACAACAGTATGGCCAACATTAAACAAATGTAAATGTATTACAATATTACAGTGTTCAAATGAGTAAAAGACAGCGTAACACGACGTTGAAGTGTTGAAACAGCGAAAAAATGTTGTGAAGCATTATGGTATTAAAACAGAGGTGAGAAATATAGAACAGTTTAACGATTAAAAGTTTTAAGAAAAGTGTGTGTTGGGTATGACAAGAGTGGCAGGGCTCAGAGGGCTGTGAGGCAGAGAACTGAATAATAACAATAGTGTTAGAAGGAGTGTTTATGAATAAAGAACCCGAACCATAAAAGAACAATAAAAGAATGGTGATGACATAAAGTCCCTGACGTGCACACTCATCATCATTAGCCCGTGTTATTTTCAGCTGTAATGTCAGACCTATAAAGGAACCCCAACATACAGTTGCAAACCATTCTCACGTCAATCAAATGTTGCTGCTTCGTCAGTTGACCCAAATTTTCAAGTAAGACATGCTAGGTAGCCTCCTGAATCATTTATGGATGTTCACGGACAGCATTTAAATTGACGCTTGTTACATGCATTGTGTCTTTTCAAAATACATTTCCATTTTCACAGGAAATGTACAGTGTCTGCTGGTAACATGCACACAGACTTTTTCAAAATAAATTTACTATGTAAGTAAAACATGATTTTACATTTGTCTCCTCAGGTATAGGCAACAAAAGTATGTGGTTAAATTTAGAAAAAAACATCATGGTTTGGTTTTGAAAAAAGTATGCGTCTTACTAATGTAATGTCATGTCACATGACATGTTACGAGTGTAGCATGCTCCACCTACTAGCACACTAGTTGTTATTCAAATAACTGTACTGACTTTTGGTTTCATACTTGAAACAAAGAGTGGACTCCTGGGTGAAAGTCTGGAGTTTGCTTCCGCCTGCCCTGTATGCACTTAAACTACTCCTTATGGGTGGTGTCAGAAATAGCTGTGGCCTGGTGCAAATCATACTGCTGCATAGAGTGTTGTGGTGAGTCAGGGTCTGACGCTGGCATCCACTGGCAAGGTGGTGGTATGTGATGGGTTGTGTTTTGGCTAGAGGTGATAGAAATAGCTGCAACCCTGTGTGTATCAAACTACCATAAAAGGTGCCTCTGTACGTTGGTTTTTGACACTGAAATCATTGACATAGCGGCGGTATTTGCTGAGTTGTGAGTGAGAAGACAAAAAAAAGAGTTGAAAATAAAAGTGAGAGTACACTATGAAGATTAGGTGATTTGTGATACTGCGTAAATCATAACTAAATAAAGAAATACAAGTATTAAAGATTATAAATAATTCAAAATAGAAATGATATAAGACCCCAGCTGCCTTTATCAGGAATATTTTAGTTGCCTGACTGATCCACCTTCTTCCTTTCACGTATTATTAGAGAGATCATTTTCTGTATTTCTTATAGGACGTTTTTATTGCACATTTGGAGGGTTAAACAAAAACTACTGCAAACAATGAAACTACTCAGGGATTTTACAGACTTATCATGGTGATTATTATAGGGAATTTCTAGTGATACCATATGGTAGACAAAATATACCACTGCATGCATAGCACAGATGGACCTCAGGTCCCCAGAGAGATAGCATTGGTTGCCTAACTCTGCTAATTGCAGCTGTTTTGGCACATTTGCCTCTCACTATGCAACCACTGTGTTATGGGAAGTTTGTAAAACAGTGCAACATGTGCAGAATGAGAGGTGGAAATAAACGGTTGTGTTTCCACCCACTGGACTACATTTCCCATGCTGTGGTGTGGGCGTAGTCAAGGCGGATACGCATCAACATGCCTTGATGCGTCTTGGGTCTTTTTCTGTGAACTGTGGCAAACAAGTTGTGCCTGGAGCTGCAGAGGGGGACTGCTGCTGATCGGTAGGCAAAAACTATTTTTAATGAACAGCTGCACGTAAAGCAGGACACGTATAACCGGTAACAACATGCCATTTTACTTTCACGGATCCCGTGTTATTTTCCCTCCGTTAACTTTCTTGCGCCACCCACCACCACCGCGCACAACAACGGTTTTCTGTACGTCGGACTACACTGTATGTAGAAGTTGGGGTTACATAAGCAAACAAGACCTTATATTCTGTACGACTATTACCTTATAAACGCGTGTTTGTGTGTATTATAGACTTTTTATTTAATAACAAAATGCATGTTACAGGCTAAATATGAACTCTGAATCAGTGTCGGTCACACACACACGTACAAAGTAAAGATCCTAACTGCTTGTAACTGTTTCTGGTGCTCTAAAGTTTTGCTGTCTGCTTTTATATCTTAGTTTTTAAACAAAGTATGTAACTATAGTCAGCACACTGCAACACGTCACACTCGCATACTGTATACGCACGCGCAAATACGCGCTCCTTTTTCAGACCAATGTTCCGACTGAATCAGCACTTCTGTGTTTACCATGTTTCCCCATGTCAGGATAGATAGTGATCAGCTATAAACAAAGAAATATCCTAGTCTGAGCATTTTCTGCTTTTTCCACACTGTTCAAATGGAAAAAACATGTGTTATGTAATATTTTTTGTTTACAAAGGCCCTACATGCGTGAAAAACAACAGACTTATTTTTTGTGTGTCTGTATTAGATATTTACTAAGTCATGGTTGGATTTTTGATTTTATATTTTATAAAACAATAAAAGTAGGTAAGTAATGTTAAGCAAAAACCTCCTGGCTCCAGCTTCCTCTCTGGTTCCACATGTGAATAGTTGCTGTAGAGCTGCTGCAGTGATTCTTTTTTTTCTGATTGCTGAGGCACTATCTTTGAAGCTATAGGCTATTTCTTGTAAAAACCTAACACTAAACAAGCAAAACATAAATTTCTTGCAAAAGCAAAAAGCTTGCTGAGTTTATTACATTTTTTCATCTGATTGGTTAGTCACCATCTTAGAAACTGCAGGCTATGTTTACAGAACTCTTGACACTAAGGGCCTTGACACACCAAGCCAGCGGTCCACCTTAGGTCAACGCAGGGCCATTGGTCTGTGTTTGTTCTGTTTTTTTGCGGTGTGTCCTGCACTGTTTGCACTAGTCAGCCCTTGTCATCCTTTTCCATCCAGTTCAGCATGTTGAATCTGAGATAACAGAGCCCGTCGGTCAGAAGCAGTTGAGCTCAGTGCACGAGAAGAGAAACAGAAGTTAGGGAAGCAAACAAACAACTAAAGTCAAGAGAGCGTGAGATCAAAACAAACTTGTTATATTGGATAAGACTGTGATTTTAACTGCTGATCTCTTTTGCAAAAATGGTTTGTAATTGTTTGTTTAGTTGTTCTCTAGCACACGGTAAATATCTTTAGTGCTTTTAACATTGAGTTGTGTTGTTAATGTGCAAACTGGCTAACTAGCCTCTAAAATCACTTTTTGAATGACGAAAACAGACTACCGCTGCCTTCAGGTTAGGAGAGTTATTTACTCTCACGCAGGTGCAGAATGTACATTCATATTTGGTTGTTAGCTGTGGTTTTTGCAGTGTGTAAGGTGCAACCATCTGCTGAGACACAGGAGATGTAAGGCTATGCAGCAGTCAGCCTTCGTCACCATGTCTGGGGCGTTAACCACAAAACTTGACAGCAAACCAGACAGCAAAACACTATACATTTCTGTGAAAAGCAAACAACTCTTGCAAAACTTTTCTAACTCTCAATTTTTGCGTCAATACAGTTTACACAAACACATCATTTAAAGGGCCAGTGTGTAATATTTGGCATGGTTTATTGTCAATCTGAATCTGAATCTGAATATTCTACCCATTAATATGTTTATACAAGTGTATGATCGCTATAAAATAAAATTCGTTTGGTTTTCGTAGCCTTATAATTATGCTTTCACATATATATATATAGCAAGGGCCTTGCTTTAGAGAGGTCGCCATCTTGCGCCGCCATGTATGTACAGCAGACCGAGTGGACAATCCAGCCAGCCAGAGAACGCGTTTCGCGTGTATAAATGAACCAACGAGGACAGCGGAAGGAAGGAAGAAGGAGGAGGAAACAGCAGAGTGTTAGTAGTTCTTCGATAGAGAGTAGTGAAAAGTTTTTTTAGTTATAAAGTTTGCGAATGGACCACACTTACCACGCAACAGGAGATAATGAACCCGAACCGTCATCTGCGAGGAAAAGAAGACGCAACTTCACTCCTTGTGATGCACTCTCTGCGGCGCTTGCTAGGCTAAATAAACAGCTGAGCACTGTTTACAGGCTATGCTGTCAGTCAGTGTGCGGGCTGGAGATTGGCGGAGCAGAGAGGGGAGAGGGGTCGGTCCCCACTTAGTATCGTAAACGAGCATGTGTGTAAAGTTATGAAGTGTGTCTGTTACGCCAGAAGAGTCAGAGTTTGGGATGGAGTGGAGTGTTACCAGAGTTTCTGGACTGCTCAAATAAACGGGCCTTTTTCCTGAACGCTCCTCTGGTCTCCTGCTCTTGAGGGATTCATTACAATATCGTAACCTGGTTTAGATTTCTAAATAAACATTCACCTCGTCGCTAGATAGACCTACTCCTGAAAAACTCGTGCGCAAGGCTTTTTGTCCCTACGAGGCCACCGTCATTTACCCGACTGGAGGGGTGAGCGAGTGAGCCCTGCAATCTAGAATTTGACCACTGATGTCACTGTTTCCAACGGTTTTCAACCCATTTTACACACTGGCCCTTTAAATAAGCACATGACGCACCAAATACGCACTGATGGTGAAAATGAAAAACACTTGTGGCTTTTCCTTTGTGTGTGTGCAGGGTACAGCAGTTTGCACTGAAGTTTTGTCATACATGTACACATGTCAAATCTCGTCTTCCTTGTGGGTCTGGCTGTGGAGCACTTTATTAGCATCACATGGGATGTCGTGCCAGGCTGCACATTCGTCAGTATAAAAAGGCCATTGGCAAAAATAGTGTAGCAATGTAAAGACCAGTGTTCACAGTTTTGCAAAAAGTGTGTTATAGAATTACAAACTGATTGTAAAGCAGAGAATGTCTATTCAGTTTGGTACACTCTGTCCAACTATTGGCTGTTAGTCCTAATGGTTTCAGAGATAGTGCTTCAAGGATCACTGCTGGTGTTTTATGCATTCAGAAAAAACTGTAATCGATTAGTCAGTTCACAGAAAATGAAACATTATGATAATTGATTAATCGTTTCAGGCAAAAAAACAACAACCAAAAAACATCAAACCCTCTGTTTCTAGCTTTTCAAATATCAGGATTTGTCATTCACGACAGTAAACTGAATATCTTATATCTTGATTTTAGTTGATGGAATAAAATAAGCTAAACAGATCACCTCGGGCTGTGGGAAATTGGCATTTGTCATTATTTTGTTTTGTTTTATAGGCAAAGAAATTACTCAGTAAATTGAGAAAGTGATCTGCAGATTTAGTGAAAATGAAAATAGTTGAATGTCACTGAGTTTTGGGCTTTTGGTTGATCAAAATGTTAAGACATCTCCTGGGATCTGAACCTGTGGTGGTCATTTTACACATTTCTTTTCTTACAATGTTATATACTAAAAGATTAATAGAGACGGTTGTTAGTTGCAGCCCGATATGATAAATGTAATATCATAGATTGTCTTAGGTTAAGTTCTTACATCTGTTCTTGCACTTTTCCAATAGAAAAGAAGAAAGAAATAGACAATGAATAAATACAGTAAATCTTCCCCCGACTTTCCTGGTCAATTCCAGCAGCCTGAGCGGATCTCCAAGGAACCAACAGTTAGTTCTCTGTTAATTAATGATGGGCTTATGTTATCACTCCTGTTGTTGGGGGAAATCTATACTAAGGGTAGTTGAACACAGAATTAGTCAATTAGATTGCTAATTAATAGCAAGCATTTTTTATTATCGACCCTTGCTGCCAGGGCCGAGCATGAGGGTCAATTGCAGTTAGGACTAGTCAGCAAACAGGGAATCTGGAGAGGACTGAACTCCCCTCGGTCGGCTGTGTACCTTTAATCTAATCCATTCTGATTAGCTGAAGCCAAAATAACTAACATCAACTAGTTAATTACCTGTAAGACTTTTTGCCGTGTCCCTGCTGGGAGGGACAGTCAGGTCTGAATGCGATAGAAACGAACGTGCATGTCAGAATGTTTTTGTCTTGAACGAACCAGGTTACTTCCAGTTTTGGTTGGTCTGGCTTGACAGAGAGCACAAAGTTTAGTATTCTTTCCTCTCCTTCCCAGCACTGGCAGAGCTTTAAGGCCAAAATCCCCTTTTCTGCTCCCCTACTTCCTTACATACAAATGAGTCTTCTTTCAATTGAACTCATATGTTAGAATTACTGCTGGGACCATCCACTTTATCCTCTTATGGGTAATTGGTAGTAGATTTGTTTTGTTAAATCTCAGACACATCTTTAAAGTTTACATCCTGACAGCGTAATACCTCTAAGTGCTGTGGAATCACTTTGTGCAGTAATGCAGAGCATGTAAGACAATGCCAGAAATGTAATGGAGGCTTTGAACTGACAAGGAAACAAGATGGACTAAGAAACAGGCTGACACTTCAAGCTGATCATGCTGGGGCTGTTTTTCCCTAATGTATCTTTTGACTAAGCAAAACTGGTAAGCAACATTAGGTGAATGTTCTGTCCAAAGGCTCAAGCTACAGGCTGCCTCTTTGTAGTTATCATTTTTATTTGAGCACTTTTCCCTAAAAACCAGTGTTGATATGAGAAGAGCAAATATTGCATGAAGACCCAGACACTGACTTTTCAAAGCCTATTTTCTCTCTCTCATGACAGGCAAGCAAACAGACATAACGACGGGGCCAGTGTGCAGCAAACGAGGTTCCCTGGAAAACATTTCTGTGATCTGTAGGACAGCGACTCTCAGAATTGCACGCTGAACTGCACAAGTCATGTACCAAGTTGTGCCAGGAGGGGCGGGAGGCACAATTACAGATGCACTCCCCAAGCAGAAACACAGCAAGGACACTCGACCCTTAGTCGGAGCTGGAGTAATCGGTCTGGTGCTGGTAATTGCAGCAGTGACTGCATGGTGTTATTACATAGCCTCTCTACGCAAAGCTGAGCTGCTTAAGACTCAGCTTCTGGATCTGAATAAAGATGGCTACATTATCCGTAACCAGGGAGGGTCTATTGTTTTCAGAATGGATTTCAGGTTGGTAATTTTCAACGGTCTTTGAATTTTGATGTTTGTGTGATGATGCATATTTCGGATACATCAGACAATGTATGTACAATGTAAATGTGTTTTCAGTTATTTACATCAAATATGTAAGGTTTTGTTCTGACAAAGATTTTCTTTCAATCTTGGCAGGTCAGGTACACTTGATTTGGATTCATGCTCCAAAGAAGGGGAGATGCTGAGCTGCTCACGCACCTCTGATAGAAATCTGAATTTCTTCATTGAGACAGTGCGACCCAAAGACACGGTACAATGCTATCGTGTGCGCTGGGAGGAACTGGTTCCTGACATTCCTGTTGAGCATGCCATGACATACAAGTTTGCACACTGGTATGGTGGTGCAGTGTCAGCAATTCAACACTGGCCTATTTCTATTTACGGCCAACAGGCTCCCAAACCCTTTGTCACTAGTGACATTTACTCAAACCGCCATGAATTTGGTGGAATTTTGGAGAGTTATTGGCTTTCCTCCAATGCTACAGCCATCAAGATAAATAATTCAGTGCCCTTCCACCTGGGCTGGAATGACACTGAGAAGACCATGTCCTTCCAAGCGCGATACAATGACAGTCCCTTCAAGCCAAACCCAGGAGAGGCTCCATGTGCTGAACTCAGCTACAGAGTGTGTGTGGGCTTGGATGTGACATCCATACACAAGTACATGGTCCGCAGATACTTCAACAAACCATACAAAGTACCTGCCAAATCCATGTTTCGCCATCCTATATGGTCCACCTGGGCGCTACATAAGACTGACATTGACCAAGAGAAACTCTTGACGTATGCCGCCAACATTCGCAAGTATAACTTTACCTGTAGTCACCTGGGACTAGACGATCGATACACCAGCCGCCACGGAGAATTTGACTTTGACCCAATAAAGTTCCCCAATGCCTCAGCCATGTTCCAAAAGCTGAAATCTGATGGATTTATGGTGTCGCTTTGGATTCACCCGTTTGTCAATTATGACTCTGCAAACTTCCATTACTGCGTAGAGAGGGGGCTTTTAGTCCGAGAGCCTACAGGCCGGCTGCCAGCTTTGGTGCGCTGGTGGAATGGCATTGGCGGAATTGTGGACTTTACAAATCCAGAAGCCCGTAATTGGTTTTCCTCCCAGCTCCGTTCACTGCGCTCGAGCTATGGAGTGTCATCTTTCAAATTTGATGCTGGGGAGACCAGTTACTTACCATGGAAATTTAGTACCTTTACTCCCATTCGGGACCCAAGTTTTTTCACAAGACGTTACACGGAAATGGCTATTCCCTACAATGACAGAGCTGAGCTGCGCAGTGGCTACCAGTCCCAGAACATATCCTGCTTCTTCAGACCAATTGACAGAGACTCTGTGTGGGGCTATGAGCTGGGTCTCAAGTCCCTTATCCCCACAGTGCTCACCATCAGCATCCTCGGCTATCAGTTCATTCTACCTGACATGATCGGAGGGAATGCCTATCTGAACCGCACTGATGGAGATCGTGTATTACCCGATCGCGAGCTCTATATCCGCTGGCTGGAGCTGGCAGCCTTCATGCCCTCCATGCAGTTTTCTGTCCCGCCATGGGAATACGACAATGAGGTAGTTGAAATTGCTCGGAAATACACAGCCATCCACGAAAGTATTGTGGCGCCACGGGTCCTGGAGCTGGCTGGCGAGGTGCTGGACACCGGGGACCCAATCATACGGCCCCTGTGGTGGATTGCCACACTTGATGAGACAGCCTATAAAATCGACTCCCAGTTCCTGATTGGGGATGACCTCATGGTAGCCCCAGTTTTGGAGCCTGGAAAGCAAGAGCGTGACATCTACCTCCCTGCCGGCCGTTGGAGAAGCTACAAGGGGGAGAGATTTGATATCAAGGAGCCACTGCATCTCACAGACTATCCTGTAGACCTGGATGAAATTGCTTACTTTGTTTGGGTGTAGCAAGAAGGGATTGTAAAGCTGAACAGACTTGATTAGCCTTTGCTACAATTTGCTTGTAAGACAAGCTTCACAAATTCAGCTTTTATTCTTGTGTGCAAAGGTTGTTTGTTATGGAAAAGCTATTCTGCCACACAATATGACAACTTTTTAAATACTACAATACACCACAAATGTGAAACTGTTCATCTCAAAAGTGCTCAAAACCTCATCTTAATTTCTTATTTCATTTAAATGAATAAAGGTAGAATCTTTTTTATTTTCTTTTTGTATTTTTTTAGTGGTTTGATGTAAATATATATCAAGGTATTGTCCTTTAAAGACAGACTATGTAACTTTTGACAGCCACTGTCAGTGTGATGCACGTTCACACTTGACAAGAGCCAGGTTAAAGTTCAGTTCACATAGTTTAAAATGAACTAGGTCACGTTCATGGTTCACAATTTGAAATTTGAAGTAAGTTCACAGTTCCAAAGAATGAACTAGTTTACGTTTGTGTCTTGGATGCATCGACTCGATGTGTTGTTTCATATTTGTTGCCAAATGTGGCTGATGTTGGGAGAGTTGTATTTTCAGACTTGGTGGCAAATATGAAATATGAAAGTACTTGTTGTAAACCTCGGTTTGCCTCAAATTGAGTGTCAATGTCACAGGAGTGACTGACACTTGTGTTCAAGTCCATAAATTGCAAACTGATGCATTCAATTCACCATTCACCAAAAGTATGAGCACATTCAATGAGCATGCACTGCTAGCGTGTTCATGCACAACACTGGCCACTGTAGCCAGAAGTCACAATTATGTACTTATGATGACTGTAATAACAGTAGCACAGGTAATGAAGAGTCATACAAATTAACAAACTGGCTCCATATTGTCAGTTAAACAGCAATGTATGTTTCAAGTTTGCTGACATTAGCTGATGTTAGCCACTTTAAGCTACTTGTCATACCAGACCACGCAAAGTTCCAGCAGCAAAATCCCATTACATATAAAAGTTACACGGTCTCACTTTAAAGCCTGTGCAAGCCACATATATCAAACATTTGTCATAAAGGGAATACACAAACTGTGAATTAAGTGAGGCAAAGTTGTCTTTGCATGCCATAAAGTTGAAGTTAAATTCAAGCCAAACAGATCATGTCATGGGAGGACAATTAAAGGGGTGTCATTATCGTCATCAAACAGACAGTAGGCTACATAAAACCTTCTATATTGATAAAAAATTCCCTTTGACTGAGACATCCTACTTTCCTGTGACACTAATGACTCTTCTTCTCTGCTGCTCCGAGATACTTTCCAGGAAGTCAGGTCTTATGCTTCACTTATCAGGATGAATGCTTGAAGTTTAATCATTACAAACTGCACATGCTCTCATTTGTGGAACTGAGTGTCATGTAACTACTCTTAGCCCAGACGACGATGCCTTTTATTAGGCACTAAATATTTTATGCTCTTCCTCAGGTAACAGCCTTTTTCTGGCTGTGGTGTGTTTTTAAGTGTCTTGTAATTGTCTTATTTTGCTTTGCTGACTCCAAATGCAGCTAAACAGCTAGTCATACTCCAGTATATAATATGCTCTGGTTACTTTAAACCTACTTCTTATGCAGTGAGGAAGTCCATAGATGTCGTAAATTAAATTACCAAAGTAGATGGTACAGTGTGTTTTGTAACCTTGAGTTTGTTAATGTGAATATTTTGTAACTGCAGTGACATCTCAAAGTGCCATGTGTTAATAATTACTGCCACATACTGTATGTGATTTCATGTTATGCTATACATTTATTGTTGTTGCCTTGTTACATATTGTACATTTATTATGTAATATTATCATTAATTTAACCACTTAACGGAGTGAGTTAACTCTTTATGTGCAATCAGAGAGTGCACCACTTATGCTAGAAAACTAAAGTTCCCATTATGCATCTGTAAATATCTGAGAAAAAAAAGAATCTCATAGTTTTCATATCATATCGTATCATATCAGAGTACATCATGTGATGCAACTGATACTTCCTCAAACTCTGTTTAAGGCAGCAAGCAGAGATGTGGACTTGACTTGCAGACTTGAGTCACAAATTTGATGACTTTAGACTCGACAAAATCAAAAAAAGTCTTTGACTTTAACACCATTGACACTTGACTTCACTTGACCTCACTTTGACTTGAAAATACTCGATACCTTCGGAAAGAGAACGTTGAGAAATGATTTCAATATGAGATGAGTTAAATACAACAAGACAGGCCAGAAACATACAAAATTCATTCTGTGGTACTGGACTATTGTGCTATATGCTATGAAAAAACATTTATTAATTATGTTAGTATAATACATTATTACTCTATTGTTAAAATGGCATTACATGTGATGAAGGGTACATTATAATCTGTTTAGGACTCAAAACTCATTAAAGACTTGGGACTTGACTTGGGACTTGAGTACAAAGAATTTAGACTTACTTGTGACTTGCAAAACAATGAGTTGATCCCACCAATGGCAATTAAAGAATAATATTGGTAACCAGGCTTTTGGATCCCGACCCTGAACATGACAATGACTCCCTCTGGTTCCTGTTAGCTTTCATAAAACTTGTTGAGGTAAGCTTTGACGTTGCATTTAGAAAAACACTGTTACTGTATAATAACGAAAAGGAAATGTCCACATTCTCATGGTGCAATGTTCTCGTGTGACAATATTTCTCTATTTTTGTTTAACGCTGTCTTCTGTGGCTCGCAGGTTGACCTGAGTGGGTTTTGTTTGTGCCTTTTGACATAGTAATATCATAACAGCACTACCTATTTATAGCAGTTCTCACTCAGCATCTGGGCCAGGCCAACCTCTGAGGCTATTTCTGTCTCAGACTGTCTTGCTTTATGATGAGACTGAGAGATTATATATCTCGGACTGAATGTTTCTTTGCTTTAGGCTCTTATGACCCAGTGTGTGCTGTCTGCCTCGAGTTATTGTAACTGGACATTGTGCTAATTTCGGCAAGGGTGCATACTTGATGTCATTTTGTATGAATGTATTAAAAGGAATCATGTTTGACTTCTGTCTGCGGCTTAATTTGTGTGAAACACACAATAATCTTAGTTTTAAGGGAAGTGTCACATGAAGGACTTGCTACAATTACTGCTGCTACCAGATGGTGTTAAATCCCCAAAGATCAATAAATGCTCAACTTTTACTTATTTACACACACAAACACATAAAGTTCAAGAAAAGACACACAGACATGAAATCCAGGTCAGTAAGCTGACTGTGCAACCAGTGAGCCAATACCAACCTGTAACCTCATATGAGTCTGCAACACATGAAAACTAATGTGCCTATCAATTCAATATTGAAAGAGACACCCTTGAGGGACTTTTTCAACTTTTGGTGCCAGGCTCATCACGGGGCGATAATGACAAGGTGATGAAACAGTTGTGCAGGTTATTTGGAGGCTGTGTTCAGATCAATAAATCATCTGGCGGTTCATGATGTGAGGCCAGAGAGCAAGTGATATGAAACGACCAGACACCAAGAATAAAAAAGATAAACATCAGCAGGAGATAATAGCAACAATATTTATTAGAATTACAGCCGTAAGCATGATTGTTCTGCTCTGAGTTCAAACAGCCTGGCAGGACCATTTCTTACAGCTATAGTCGATCTTTCATATGTTTGGGGAATTTATTCTATTTCAAAACAGCGGGATATGCTTCAGAACTACTTCACTTTGTTTGCCAATGCCTCATCTTTCTTCAGAATTGATCTTGACTTGCAGCCTGTGCGGGGAGGACATACATTCATTGATTAGCTGTCTGTGTGTTGCAGGGATCAATATTATTTGTTGGTTTGCTTTCTGCAATCATATTGTTTGGCTCTGGCCATCTTTTCATAGGCTGGACAAGTCATTTACTGTATATAGGAGCTTTAAGGGGAAATTGGAGCTATGTAGGAGGAAGGCTGAAAAATGGACAATTTTCAACAGTGGGGGCTTGATTAGTTGGATTTGTGCAATAGTTTAGTGTTTTGAGTCAAATGCTTTACTGTTTTCACTTTATATGAATTTGTTAATTTAAATCAGGGGTTCCAAACAGTGGGCGAGCCCCTCTGTGGGGGTAGAAACCCTGCAGGTGGGGTGTGGATGACTAGGAGAAAATTTAACAAAGCTGAATGCATATACTTTATGCAGTTTGCTGATGCATCACACTGATCTTTATTTAACTTAAATTCAACATGTATCCTTTTTTATTTCTTGCTTCCACAATTTGTTTCTTTAATTTGTACCTTTTTTAGCTTCTGAAGGGGGGTATGACAGAAAAAGTTTGAGAGCCACTGATTTAAAAGAAGGAGAAAATGCATATTTACTTGTTGATATAGCAGTAAGAATGGAGGTAGCAACAGACAGTTATGATACAGAGCATTTTAAAAGCTGTATAGTATAAGTATGGTAGTTAAAAGATAAAAAAATATCACAGTTTATTTGTGAAAGCACTTTTAACAGATATTAAAAAATAAACAATGAAACCAGTGTTTTGGCCATGTGGTGCTGCAGATGTCCAGAAGGGTGCAGTGTAGCTTCATTGATAAACTCCCTCTTTGACATGTCAGTGGACCATGGTCCAGATGTTATGTGCGTACACACACACACACACACACACACACACACACACACACACACACACACACCGAGCAGGACACAAAACTGGCAGAGCACTTCCCCTCCTCCTTCCCCACCTGTGAGCCCACCTGTGTGTCCATCTGCAGAGGAGAGACGCCAGTTGTTCTGGTTAGGAGCCAGTGTGTCTCAAGTACCTTCCCAAATCCTCCTTCCATGAGCCTGTCTGTTGTCTGTCCTCCTCAGTAAAGCAAATATATATTACACAAAGAGAGAGAGAGAGAGAAGTGGTACTCAGGACAGCAACCATAAAAACACTAAAAATAGATGCATATTTGCAGTGTCCAACTTGCTTTTCTAATCAGAATTAAGGTTATTGTTCTCATTTGCTTGGAATATTTGACAATATGTAGAATAAATGATGATCACCATCGAGAATTAGTGCATAAAGGAATATTTAAGTGCAGTATTGTAGTGTATGTGGCTTATTGTGCCAAAGATTTGACATTGCATTATCTCAATTTATGTTGTAATTTGCACAGCTAAACTCAGCTAAATGGGAACTAACAGCAGCCACAAATAAGCTAATTAATAAAAAATACATATTGCAGACAACTCATTAAACATGATCACTAAAATACCCGTAATGAACACTGAAACTACTTCATCCATCATCGAAATTGTTGTTAGGTCACAATTATAACGCAAAATGAAGAGGAGACAAACAATGATGAATAAGCTTCAGTTTTTATTAGAAAAGCTTCCCGGCTTCTTGCCGCTAAGTGTGGAATGAGCATTTATTGTAGAAGACCACAGGGGAAATAAAACCCCATGGCCGTCTCTTGTGTGAAGTGAGAATCTTTGTCCTTAACCCAAGATTTTCACTCCGTAACTAGAATGACCTCGCATCTGGTGCTGCCATGGCTTGTCTGACAGGAATATGTCTGTCCTCGCTAGGTAACAAATGAACCCAACACCCCTGAGACTTGTCTCGCATCTGTTTATCTTTTTCACCTGTCGGTTCGCTGCACTGCATCAGGCTTACACTCTTCTGCAGCCTTTGTGGATTTCAGAGCATGCCTCTGGCATTACAGGGACGGAGATAGTCAGTGTTGGCTGGTTGCAACATTTGTTAACTTTATGACTTGGTGAGATAGTGTAGTATAGGGTGCAAGTCGACTTACATATATATTTTAAATATCTTTTTTATTTTCTCTGCATAATCTTATCTTTTTTTCATGGCTTTATTTAGTATTTGCTTATTTGGTATTATTGTCATGTTAAAGCTGAAACAATTACAAATTGATTAGTGCATCGACAGAAAACTGATTGGCACCTATTTTAATAACTGATCAATTTTTCAACAAATTCGCTAAAAATTCTCATGTCTACCAAGTAAATGTGCAGCTTGTCTTTTCTTTTTGTTTTCAAACCAAATAACTTTTGGGTTTAGACTGCTGCTTGGACAAAGCGAGCAATTTGAAGCCATCACCAAGAGCTTTAGGGAACTGTTAATGGGGAGTCACTATTTTTGACATTTTATTATCAAATGAATAATTGCTTGATCAAGAAAATAATTGTAGTTTGTCCAAGTGGTGTTGCCGTACCCCAGCACAACATGTCTCATGGGTGTATTCAGCTAACGTTAATGTCTTTATTGCATGTTGCGTGTTGTCAGATAGCCTATGTTTATTCCAGGTAAAATGTTTATGCTGCTTATTCATATAATATACAGGATAGATGTACCTGGGGGGCGGGGGGCTGTTAGGGGCTATGATGACTCCATGGCTACAGCCCTGTGTTTCAGACAATGACAGTAAAGCTCTTTTGAATCTTGAGTCTACGCTGATATAAACATAATATAGGTTTAAGGAAAATGGCGACACATATGCTTAAATAGTGAAATTAAGGACTTAGGTGAGGACAACAGGCAGGTCACTTCCTTTGTGCCTCAGTGGGGCTAAGAGGTTGAACGAAATGTCAGCCACTGAGAAACAGATGCATAATTGAAACATTGCGTTGCTGCTGCAGCCGCGCACAAGGTTGTTTGATTGATACCGTTTTAGAACACTCCTGTCCCCTCATGCTCCTGGGGTTTACCTGAGGAGAAACCAGGGGAGGGGGAAAGGTGCTTAGGTGGCTCATCTGGGTTTTGGAGGAAAATTGGTGCCATCCATCAAACACTGCATTTAACAAACGCTAACGCAGGCCTGGCCAACAAAGGATTCGTATATAAGGCAGCGAACCGGAAAACATGTGAGGTGCAGGGACTGCTGAGGGTCTATCAATCAGCCAGTCAGCTCCTTTATTTAACAAGCGAGGGCCACAGACCCTGAGGGCCACACTCCATATTCTGGCTGGTTGGGCTTGCAGTCTTCTCCTGTAAAAGGAAGAAAAAAAGGGGAAGGGAGGAATGAAGGGAGGAAGGAAAAGAGGGGCATGAAGGGATTGGGGTTGGGGGGTGATGGAGGTGCAGAAGGGTTTGGCCCGTGTCCCCTGGCGTGCTGGTGCGCTTCATCTTCTCAGTGCAAGGGCCTGGAACTGCTGCTTGATGGGATTTTCAGCCCTGTGGCCTGCTGCTGTCCCAGCATCCATCTGGAGGGCTGCCGTGTGCACAGCGGAGAGCCAGCCACTCAGCGACACAGCCATAAAGAGCAACCCGTAGGCCAGCCAATGCCACTGATCTGAGGCTCGCAGCTCTGTTCAGTGGACAGGCCAACACTCAGTGGCACACATTCCTGTCGGGGACACAGGCTGATCCCTAAGCTACTGTGTGCTCAGTGGAACAGAAGACACGCTCTGTGAGGCAGCCCACATCCAACCACTGACTCCTTCAAAGCTTAGAAAATTGGAATGGACCAAGGACTTCACTATTCAGCATCCTTAATGGTGTGGAGAGGACTGTCTCCCGTTTCTCGTGCTGTATCTGTGTGTGTCACAGCACTGGAATATATACGTGCATTCAGCATCTGATTAAGGCAATAAGCTGAAGTTGTAGTGGCAACTTGTAAATGATGCAAATGCTCACACAGTGGTCACACAGATTCCTGATTTGAATAAGCCTGCTGGGACGCTGGCCATTATAAAATCTCGCCTGAAAACAGTGCTTCTTTTGCATGTTCAATAACAGTCCTTTTTTTTTTTTTTTTTACAGAGAAGTTCAATTTAATACCACACCGCACAGCATCCAGAACAATAATATCAGCTATATATATAATTGAAAATCAAGACCAAATATTCAAAGACAATCATTACTGTCTCTCATTACTGGATCCAATTTATGTATGCCCCAGGGGACAGAGTAGCAAATAATGGTTGAGATACTGTACGGCGGCGCATTGGTTGGCGAATGTGCATGAGATCCTGCCTGATATAACTGATACGTCTGTGGAAAGTTTGGATTGAAAATGTTTTTGTTTCTCCTCAGGGCTACGTGGCGTCA